CGAATGGGGGTCTATCCGAATCGGGAGGGTCGATTAGGGATCTATGAAAAGACTGTTCTTGATACGCAAATCACACATATCTAATTAAGTATGTAAAATTTGTGATTTTTTTTATAACTGACTTAATATCAGTTTCTTTATAGAACATAAATTAATAAACGTTTATTTATTAGGGTGAAACAAGTAATAACGTACCAGCGCGCAGTGGCACGAACTCCGCACTTCTGGTTTATAAGTCATATGCATATGTGCCATAAAATTGACCAATTTTGAACCCAATATAGCAAACCTTGCAAAAAAACACCAAGCACACCCATCTAATTTATTAAGAAGCAATAAATCTGTAGTTACTTTGCTTATTATTTCTACTTATTTATAATTACTTATTATTTAATAAATATTAAGGTACTTAAATTTCAACATTAATATATTTTTAATAAAACTTCTGTTACACAATGTACTATTACTTCAATAAATGTTTAAAATCATAAAATAAATGTACAAATACCGTATCTAATAGAGTTTTATGACAGAACAGTTTATTAACAGAAAACTACTTTTATGGGGGTCGATGATCAAAAAAGTTTGGCAACCCATGGTTTAATGGAACCCTAAAGGAGGGGCAAAATTATAGCTGTAACAATTTCAGACTTTTATCATTTGATGTAAAAATGGTGCAAATTTTTAGTGCAAGTTTTATGTTGTGCACTAATGTAGCTTTTACGTTTTATTTTATATCTTATTTTACAACCGTCGTTAAACAGCCGATCCAATTTTGAGTATACGACAACCAATGTTCAACTCCGCAGCCTTGTAATATTGAACCGATCTAGAAGACAAGGGAACTCCTAGATCAATGATTGGGAGAAATTTGCCGACGTGGTGAACTGCTTGATGGAACTAATCTGAATTTGCATCACATGAAGAGGAAAACCGCGAAAACCTTCCACAATTAGCTCAACGACAAGGGGACTCTAACGCATGATTTATTCTACCACTGAGGATATTTTACATCAGCACTGTGGTCGGTATGAGCAGGGTGCGGAATTCAAATCATCATTGACAGACAATGTTGGCAAGAGATTGACAGTTTATAAGATGTACTCAGCTGCAAGGAACTAAATGGCTTTATTAGGTAGGACTAGTTGGTTCTGTAAAATTCTGCTTTTTTAACAGTTACTGGTGAAAGTAGTTACTAAATTCTTTCTCCTGCAGTTTAAATACCATCTTATTTATGGTTAATGGACTTTTTCGTCTGAGTATGGTAAAATAACAATTAAATAAATTGTTATTTAAGCTTTTTTTTCTGAGAAGTTTTTAACAGTGTGCTTTCCTATACATAAAAATGAGGTAAATAATGTATTCAATAAAAAAATGCTTACTAAAATGCTGTCAAAACTGTCTTCTCCGCATTTCTTAAACAAATTTTCTCAAATTTATTTCCCTTTTCTCGAAATCCTATTAATATTTTGGGAAACAGCAATTACACGCATCAAATTAATATTGTAAAAGGAAAAAAACGACTCTTAATCGCTTCTTATCATATTTTAGTGTTGGAGTTAGGTAAAATGTTGAATCCGAAAACGTAAATGCGCCATATTAATGAATTAATGCTGACAAAATTGCAATTCTAACCTGACAGTGATTCAATTATGTTTAAAGGTTTAAGCGGAACTAGTTTAACGTGTCTGCAAGAAATATTTGCTTCAATATTTTTTACCTGAAGCTTTGCATAAAATCACATTTTAAAATACTTTTTTTGTGGTTTTATAGATTGCTGAAGATATTTTTCTCGCAGACTCCCCTATGTTTTGATCAATTTTAACATTTCAGACGAATGCAATAAAAATAAAATGCACTTGTGCGAAAAATATCAAACATGCCACTTGCTTTAAATTATTGATTAGCATCAGAAAAATAAAGCCTTCCAAATTCTAGATATTTTATCTTAAGGGGAAAATACACATCAGTATAACAGCTTTATATTTTAAATTCGAATGTTTGCAGTAAATATCAGAAAGGTAATGAATCGATGGAGATAGATACCACCAATTCTGGCGTAGACCACATTTCTTGAATTTATTTATCCGTAAACATTTTAGTAAAATGTGAAAATATCGCTTTTGGAAGTGTTATTTTTGTAGTATTGATAGCAATTTAATTTAACCAGTAGAGTAAATTTCGTAGCAACGGTTTTCTATTTTATCAAACTGTTTCGCTCTTAAAACTGAAACTTAAATTGGCTTGAAAATATATTTTACTTTTGTTAAACTGCTGACAGTGTTTTTCATGGCGAAATGATAATTTTATAAACACTTCTTTGCCGTATCTAAATAGTCACGGGAAATTTAAATGTTTTCTTTTACGTAATTAAAAATCAGTATTCATGGTCTTTTGTCCCGTATTGATAATCTGTACTTATATCTATTTTTATTATTTCGTAGAAAAACGAAAGTATGACTGAGAAAAATCATGATTTCAACATTTTATTAACTTTGAGCTTATCTAAATGTAGCAATAGCTCAAACTGCGACAGAGTATTAATATCTTAAGGGGGGACCCCACCCTATGATGGTAAAATATTAAAATTTTCTTGAATTTTCTTTAAGTATTAGAGACAATGCAGAGACTCCTTGCTTTTTTGTGTCATTTAGCTACAATTTAAGTATATTTTAAAAGAATTTCTTTTACAAAATAATAAAAAATAAGTTGGTGGCATATCCGTGTGTGGCTAGTCATAAAAAAATAGCACCTCACTGGCCTTATGGATTTAGAAGTCCTGAAACACAGGAAAACGATTTTGTTTAGATTTTCAGAAACATAAAGACATTATCTAAAAAGTAGCATAGCGGTTTTCTGATATTCGCAAAATTACCAAAATGGCGGCAACTTAAAAAAAAAGTTAAGTTTTTCATTAAAAAAATATTCATTAAAATACTAATATAAAATCGAAATATATAAATATCAAAAAAAATCCTATGCTACTTTCTAAAGAATGTATTTTTACGTAATTTAAAATAAAGAACAGCTTATTTCGTTGTATAGATCATGAGAAAAACGTTAGACCAGGTCAAAAAACAGCGTTTTGTGAAAAACACGTTTAAAGTTTTGACTTATGTTCAATCTAGTAAATTATTAAATTAGTATTGACTAACCTTTATTCTGCAATTCCAGGTACATATATATCTCCATCAACAGAATGGATGAGACACAAAAAGAATGTCGCCCCTCCTAATCCGGCCGAACGGGCCTTTCTACCTGCTTAGCGACAACTCTCTATTTTCCGGTATAGCTTCCAAACGAAGTTATGTACCGAGAAATTGTCTTAGACAGACATTAGGAAGGGTACAAAGATTCGAAAAGTGCAAAAAAAAAAAAAAAATTCGAATTTTTTAAATATTTAGGGTGGGGTTCCCCCTTAAGTCCTGGTGAACAGTTTTGTTAAATTTCGATGGCAGTGTTCTTTTTTTTTTTTTTTTTTTTTTTTTTTTTTTTTTTTTTTTTTTTTTTTTTTNTTTTTTTTTTTGCATCAATATCAATTTTCGACACTCAATATGAAATCCTTTTTCACTCCCTTTATACAAAAATTCTGAAAGCATAAATTATCTGCTTACATTACGGAACACTTTCCATACTATATTTTATTTAATTTTTGTCACTGGAGTAGAATGGCCGAAATAGTTTTGGATTTACGACTGTATTTATTCAACTCTGGAGCATTGCAATTTTGAGCTCAATTCAGAAGACAGGGAACTCCTGCATCAATGTATGAAGGCAGGGCTAAAGAGAATAGAAGGGCTAGTTCACTCCGCTCTTACAGCTGAAGCTACGATTTCCCTCCTCATGACGTCACTGTGTCCACAGATCTCGGAGATCGCAAGCAAAGATATTATGATAACTTTGCATCTTTTGCTTTGTAAAAATAAGTTAGACTTTTTCTGGTTATTAGCTTTCAAACTTTACGTAATTAACACATTATTTCCGTTCATANAATGCAATAAAAATAAAATGCACTTGTGCGAAAAATATCAAACATGCCACTTGCTTTAAATTATTGATTAGCATCAGAAAAATAAAGCCTTCCAAATTCTAGATATTTTATCTTAAGGGGAAAATACACATCAGTATAACAGCTTTATATTTTAAATTCGAATGTTTGCAGTAAATATCAGAAAGGTAATGAATCGATGGAGATAGATACCACCAATTCTGGCGTAGACCACATTTCTTGAATTTATTTATCCGTAAACATTTTAGTAAAATGTGAAAATATCGCTTTTGGAAGTGTTATTTTTGTAGTATTGATAGCAATTTAATTTAACCAGTAGAGTAAATTTCGTAGCAACGGTTTTCTATTTTATCAAACTGTTTCGCTCTTAAAACTGAAACTTAAATTGGCTTGAAAATATATTTTACTTTTGTTAAACTGCTGACAGTGTTTTTCATGGCGAAATGATAATTTTATAAACACTTCTTTGCCGTATCTAAATAGTCACGGGAAATTTAAATGTTTTCTTTTACGTAATTAAAAATCAGTATTCATGGTCTTTTGTCCCGTATTGATAATCTGTACTTATATCTATTTTTATTATTTCGTAGAAAAACGAAAGTATGACTGAGAAAAATCATGATTTCAACATTTTATTAACTTTGAGCTTATCTAAATGTAGCAATAGCTCAAACTGCGAACAGGTATTAATATATTAAGTCCTGGTGAACAGTTTTGTTAAATTTCGATGGCAGTGTTCTTTTCTTTTGTATCAACATCAATTATCGACCCTCAATATGAAATCATTTTTCACTCCCTTTTTACAAAAATTCTGAAAGCATAAATTATCTGCTGACATTACGGAACACTTTCCATACTATATTTTATTGGGTTGGAGGAAAAGTTCTGTCATATTTTAAATAGGCTGGTGATTTTTCTTAACTGCTGTATGATATAAAAGGTGCCCTTTTTCACCGTTCATCATTTACTTGTGATATTTAAAGTAAAAAACATGTCAGTAGATAAAGTGCATTTACGACACTGCATTTTATATGAATTCCAAAAAGGAAGCAACGCATCGGAAGCATGTAAAAATTTATGTGCGGTATTTGGAAAAGATATTGTAAATGTTTGTACTTGTCAAAGATGGTTCAGCAAATTTCGTTCTGGGGATCTGAGTCTCAAAGAAAGTGATCGATCTGGACGACCATCCAAGATCGATAATGATGTTTTGCGATCCATGTTGGAAAATAATCCACATTTAACAAGTCGAGAAATTGCAGAAGAGTTTGGAATTCATCATACAACTGTTGGAGATCACATTAAATCTCTTGGGTTGGTGTTAAAGCAAAGTGTTTGCGTTCCACATGAATTAACGGAAAAGAATTTGTCTCATCGTGTAAGAATGTGTTCATCACATCTGATTAGACACAATGTGGAGCTGTTTTTTGGACAGGCTGGTTACTGGAGATGAAAAGTGGATTCTTTACGAGAATATTAAGAGAAAAAAATCTTGCTGCAAACCAGGGAACATCATCAGCAACAGTCCATCAACGAAAAGAACTGCTTTGTTTGTGGTGGGACAGGAAAGGTCCAGAGTACTACGAGTTGCTGAAACAGGGGGAAACCATCAACGCGGATCTGTACTGCAATGAGCTGGATAAATTGAATGCAGCTATCAAGGAAAAAAGGCCAGTATTAGCGTCCAGAAAAGAAATAGTGTGCCACCACGACTAGTGTTCGCCCGCATACTGCAATGGTGTCACTACAAAAACTGAATGCGTTAGGTTGGGAAATCCTTAGTCACCCACAGTATTCACCTGACATTGCACCATCTGATTATTACCTGTTCAGAACTCTGCAAAGTTATGGAACGGGAGAAAAATTCAAGTCTTTTGAAAGTGTTTCTAAGGCAGTTGCTGACTATTTTAACTCCAAGGACGAGAACTTCTATAAAACAGAAATTCACAGGTTACCTGAAAGATGGCAACAGGTTGTAACAAATAACGGAGCATATACAATTGAATAATATTAAACACATATTTTTGTAAATGAATTCAAATATTTTCTTTAAAATACGACAGAACTTTCCCTCCAACCCGATACTTTATTTTTGAAACTGAAGTGGAACGGCCGAAATAGTTTTGGATTCACGACTGTATTTATTCAACTCTGGAGCATTGCAATTTTGAACTCAATTCAGAAGACAGGGAACTCCTGGATCAATGTATGAAGGATCAAACCACCTTACTCGGTGGACTGTTTAATAGAACTCACCGCCCTCTCATGTTGGCCCAACTGCAAGGAAATTCTAATCCATGATCTGTAAAACACTGAGGATATTTTGCGCCACCACTGTGGTGGGTGCGAGCCAGAAGCAGAAATCGTATTAACTAGCCAACTCTGGGATTTGAACTTGATTCTTCTCATTAGGAGGCAAACGCTCTATAGTCTTATGCACCTCGGCAACGTAGAATAATATATTTCATTTCATAACCGGCGTTGAAGAGCACCCAATTCTGAGTTAAAGATTATTAATGTTAATCTCCGTAGCCCTGTAATTTTGAACTCAATCCATAAGGAAATGGAACTCACACATCAAACATTTGGCCTAGCTAGCTTTTGTGAAGGCTTAGTATAGCATTTTTTATATTAGACGTTGAACAGCCAACTCAATTCTGAGTTTACGACTATCAATGTTGAACTCCGTAGCCCTGTAATTTTGAACACAATTCAGATGACTAGGAAACTCCTGGATCAAGCAATGAGACAAGTCTTCGGGGAGAACTTTTTACTGGAACTAAACCCGCATTTGCGTTACATAGAGATGAAAATCACGAAACTCTCCCACTATTAAGCAGATGGAAAGAGGATTCCAACCCATGAATCTACCATTGACAATATTTTACGTAAGCACTGTGTTCAGTGAGAGCCGGAAGAAGAATTCGTAACGACCAGCCATCCCTAAAATTCGAACCTAGGTGCCTTTGGAAAGCAACTGCTCTATCTGAGTCACCGTAGCTCTCTAGTATAATATATTTTATATTTTCTATCCGTCATTGAACAGCCGACCCAACCTTTTTGGGGTTTACGACTACTAATGTTCAATCGTAGCCTTGTAATTTTGAACCTATCCAGAAGACAAGGAAACTCCTGAATCAGTACCCCCAGAGTTATTGATTTGTTATGGGAACATGGAGGACTTTCCGAGTCGACAGATTTAACGCGCATCAGTCACCATTTACTACACGAGGAGTCTTCGGCCGGCTGGGATCGAACCCATGTACTTTTGGACATGGGCCCTGTGCCCTACCAACCAGGCTATTCCAGCCTCTCTACTGTTAATTTTGAATTGCGTGTGCTTTATGCAGAAGGAAAATAAATTAGAACACTCAAGCCACATCTATGTGTTTGGCCAAGATAGTAATGGATATTACGATTCCGACTTATTTCTCGACTAGAAGCATTATGGTGGCAATGTGCACAGCATTACATGACTGCCTCCGGCTTTGTTTACTTCGCAGAAGTTACCCATCGATATTAAACTAGGTCGGCTCTAATTCGCCACAGCGAATGAAATCCAGGTTTTATAGTTGTTGTAGTTGTAGTTCATTTACGTCGCACTAGAGCTGCGCAATGGGCTATTGGCGCCAGGTTTTATAGAATGATAGTTTATTGTTTAAAACACAGTGGCCACCCTACTCACTCAAAGGAAGCAAATTAATTTTTAACAACGTATAGATCTATTAATTTAACAAAATGACGCTATATTTAAAAGGTACATTATCAAAAATATTTCCCCTTCAGAAAAAATGTATTATTATATAAGTTGTTAAATGTTAGGAGCCTTGAATTATTATCTTGAAAATTTAAATTTTTCTTTTGTTATTATACATTTATATATTTATATATTTATTTATTCATATATTTTTATATTTATATATTTAGAAGTATAAAATGCCATTTTGAAATCAAATATTAAAAACACTATTAACAAACATACTTAATTTTAACTCAAGTATAATAACTTAACTGCAATAATTAAAAGCACTACAATGCTTCTGAAATTAATACTTTATGTTTAGTAAATTGGCGTAGACGTTATGAAGTGTTAATTCTCATTCTCAATTTAGCCGTCGGATTACGTTGCTATTCAAGAATAGATATTTGATGGACAAGATGGTAGCAATTCATAAATACGTAAGAGCCATATTTGCAAATCTAAAGGTCAAGAAGAGGGATATAAATTCTCCTTTAATGTGAATTAATCTCTCAGATTAATCAGGCTGCAAATATATCTCCCAGATTATCAATGTGACGTTTACCAAATTATTCACTTCCAATTCCTCTAATTTTCAAATTATTAACTTCATGACCAAACTAGAAAATATAAATCAATTTCTGCTTGTTGAATCTCAGAAAATATAAATTAACAAACCTGCATTTACAAGCGTAACTAAATCTTACTTTCTTAATCGTTCACCAAAATTAAGAAATATTGGTTATAAAGCAAAATTATTTTTTCATTATTCATGAATTGGATGTTAAAATAAAACATTTTTACTAAGATAAATCAAATATTTCTGAAAATATTGATTTTTTTTCTCATTTATAATGTATAGTTTAATTTCATATGCAGTTGCTTATTCAAAACATTAAGGGGTAACAGTTTAATTTAAAAACCATGAAGGTACTTCTTGATTACTCGAAAGCCAACGAAAAGCCCACTGATCCACGATTAGTTTATCTCAATTTTTTTAATTCTTTCAGAATTCATAACTGATGTCAATTTTCTCAATTAATCCCCTGATTAAAAATTCTTTAGATCGCATACTTTTCAATAAAATTAATATTGAAAAAATTGTCAACGCACATTGTATGACACTTTAGATGTATTACACATTTATTTCGCCGGATTGAGATTTTTAAACCTTAAATTAGGTAAGAGAGTTAACCGTTTAATGGAAAAATCGGCCCCAATGGTTAAGGCAGAATAAGGTTGATAAAAAATTTTAACCACTTAATATTAATTTAAGTTTTTTCGTCAGCCGCCATTTCACTGAAACTAAATAAAAGAATCCAACTTTTTATGAAGATAATTTGAAAACTCATTTATGTAAAGATGACATAATGGAACAAAAATAAAATCTTGCAATTCTTTCTTAATTTTTTTATCATTTAGTTTTATTTTCAGAACTATTCAAAAAAACAACCATGATTAAAGAAATATTGCATTGCTACGTTAAAGGTACAAATTATTTATTTTTCATTCAGTAAATATGTAAAAATTTAATATAAACAGCCAAATTTTTAATTGAGTCAGAAAATACATAAAACTTTATGTTTCTAAACATTCATAAAGTTAAATACTTTCTCTCGGGTATAAATTGACTCGTAACATCTAAACAAAATTAATTTAATATATTTAAAAAACTTTTTAATAGATTTACAAATACTAATTTTCCTTTAAATGAAATGAATTCTGTCATCCATTCCATCGCTTTTATTCAAATAACATTATCCATATGTCACACCGAATGGCATAACAATCTCTCAAAAAACTTTTTTGCTCATTTCAACAAAACGTAATACTAGATCAAGATTAATAATTTCTTTGGCAAAATATTTCAAAGATATTTAATTATATTACATATACTGAATGTCATGCTTTCCTGAATTAAATTTCTTAGATAATTTATATTCAGAGATGTGTTTGATGAAACCATCTCTTATTTAAGCTAAAAAATTTTAAAAATACAGACATTATAATTCACATTAAAATGATTTAATTCAGCTGTATAACTCGAAACATAATATTACTTTCCTAACTATATTTCCAAGTAAAATAGTTATAAATATTGTTATAGAAAATTGACGATAATGTTTACTTATACAAATAAATGTGTTTTTCTAAGACTTAATAAACATTAGAGTATGGTATATTAATCAATTTAAGAAACCAGCTCCATCTATTTATTTTATAGGTTGAGTGTAAACGAATTCAAAAATTGTGCTAAAGCTCCCCAAGATACTTGACTTACTTTGAATTACATAACACTATTTACATGTCAATATTTGAATTAGAAACATATTCATGGACATGAAATACTTTTAAGCAAATTCGTTATTAAATTTTGTGTTTGGTATTAGTATATTATATAAAATATTTATTCTTATGAAAATGTTCTTCAGGGAGAATTGCAGTATTTGAAAGAACAGGTTCTAGAGGCTTATCTATTAATTTGAAAACAAACGGCCTTTAGCAATGACGTTTTAATTCAGATATTTATAAAATTTTTAAGAAATCGGATATTTTTTAAATGTTTGTTAAATTTTTGAAATGAAAAGAGAGAACTTCTCATATAGTTAGAACAGGATGTAAAAAAAAAATTTGATTCAAAGCTTTTCGCTAGATAAATTAGAAGAGCTAAAACTATAGTGGCATCATATATTATTAGCAATATTTATTTGCAT